AGTCCAGGAGGACATGGGGCAGGGGCATGTTCCCCAGGATCTGCGCAGGGTGGCAGGGCCAGGGCTGTGCTGGACAAAAGGCAGAAGGTACTGGGAGTGGGGGCTATGCCTCCCCCTCCCCTGCTGCTTGCCCAGCCGGTACACGACCAGCACAAGACTGAACCCCTGTGCTGCCTCCAAAGAAGCAGTGGCTTCACTCCGGCTGGGCAAGTATTGGCAGGGCATGCCAGGGAGGGGGACATATGCCTCTGGATCAGGGTGGGGCAGCCAGTGGAGCAGGAGCTATAGAGGGGCTGCAGTGAGTTTTTGGGCAAGGCAGCAATTACTGCTGCATTGCCCAGCCAGTGTGAGGCTGGCATGACACTGAGCCCCTGTGCTGCCTGTGGATGAGCAGCAGCTTCACCCTGGCTGGGTGAGCATCAGCAAGGCATGAGGAGGGGGTGTGTGCCTCTGGATCAGAGCAGGGCAAGTGGGGTCTATGGGATGGCTGCAGTGAGTTGTCAGCAGTGAGTACTAGCAGGTGGCATGGCATATGGGCCACACCAGCATAACCATGGGCTCTGGAGCTTACAGGCACTTCCCCCCCCTTTCTGCATCATGCACACAGATGCTCTCCACCATGCTGCACCCCACACGCTCCTCCCTGTTCCATTGTGTGCACATCCGGGCATTCCAGACCACCTTCAGCTCCCTGGCCAGGGGCTCTCCCACACTGTATCAGACTGCATGCTTGTCCAGTGCCACAGGCTATGCCAAGCTACCCTGCTCTGTCCCACCACTTGGGGCAGGGGCTGGAAACAAAGCCACAGACAGAGTGATGAGGGAAGAAGCACGTGAGTAGAAACTGGGCGGGGGTGGGGGGGTGGGAAGGATGTAAACGAATCCCTCATGGACTGCACTCTTATGCCATCAGTGTGATGGAAGCCCACAGTCAGGTGCTTTGTGTGGTGCACTGTGAGAGTAACACACACTAAATTATAGTCTCCTGTGTGGGTCTGTGCTTCTGGCTCATTGTCTGTGACACATGTTTCTGTAGTTGCCATCTCCATTATAATAGTGGCCTGTGCTTGTGTGTACTGTCTGCTGTTGGGGGGTAGTGTGTACTGTCTGCTGTTGGTAAATGCCAAAATTGTCTTGTAAAAGTGGTAGAAATGGGTCTGAGGGGCAGTAAAGTTGAGGTCTTGGAATGTATCCCTATTTGTTACATTTTAAAGTGGGTTCCTTTTATGTGAATTCAAGTTATGCACTGTTTTCCAGGAATGCATGTACATCATAAAGCGAGGGAAACCTGTACCTGTTGGACAGCCTTGTTCTAACATAAATAATTAATGTCAACTCTCCTTCAACAAAATTCTGATTGAAAGGGAGGTACTGTAGTTTTTTTCACAGGGACAATAGAAGATGTCATCACAATACTTTGCCTAGATTACCTTGCAGAAGAAACTATAACACTTTGGCTAAATACAGTCAAAAAGCCCAAGGCTGAATTGATTCAGTCTTTGCAGGTTAGTCTAAGCTGCAGAGGTTAAACTGAGAAACAAGTGAACAGACATTCACTTCTGATTCAGGAAATGCAGCCACATGCATCCAATGGCTCAGGCCAGAAGCTGGGGGAGGGCGCGGGGGGGGAGGGGCAGGGGCTCTAGAGCATAGCTCCCAGCCTGCCAACCACTGGCAAAAGGAAGGGACTGAAATTCCATGGCTTTCCCCTTCTCCTTGCTCCAGTGGAGGGAGCACAGCCAGGCCCCAACCCTCGGCTAGCACACTGGAGGGTGGAAGTTTAAATCCCATCCATGGCCCACAGGAGACCCCACCCCAGGTCTGCCTGGGCAGGGAGGCACTGTCTACCAGGCTTCTGCCTCCTGACCTCCCCCTCTAGCTCCCTGCTTGAGGCTGCCAGGCTGAGGAGAAGGTGAATGGATGGAGAAACAGGTAGTGGCATTGAATTAATGAAAACTTAAACAAGAATAGTCCTTTCTCTGAAATGAGAATGTATTGAACACAGAAATTTGCAACCTCAAGTACACGACAAAGAACAACCCAAAATCTTCACCTAAGCTAAGATACAGCTCAATAAAACATAGTGAGAGCACATGCGACTTACTCTAACTTAAAATGTAAACCAAGAAGACAAGAAAAAGACTTGCATAAGTCTTACATAATCCTGATGGCCGTGCATCTCCTTACAGCCAGGTATTCAGAAATTCCTTCTTGGGGAATCAGCAGGTGGTCGTAGGTGTTGGAGTGGAGATCCCTGTGCTCACAGGTGCCAGGGGACCAGTCCCTCCAGCCCCAGTTCCCCAGCCTTTTCCCCCTCCCCTGTGGCCTTGCGGAGCTGAGGGGAATTACACCCTCTCCCCCTCCCCTTATCAACTTGCTTGACTGCCTCAGTCTCTTCCAGAGGTGGGTAGGGCAGGTGTGGAGTCTGCTGGCCTTTTATCATTTTCTAATGTAAATGTAGTTCTTCGCTTTCTTTGCTCACACCAGCCCAAGCAGTCCCTCGCAGGCTGTTGACCTCCCCATGCCCCCACTTCTGATTCAGCAGGGAAAGGTCTGGCAGGGGCTGCCCCCGACCCCCAGGCAGACCCAGTTGCAGTCCCCAGCAGGGTTTCCACCCCCACCCCCTTGTCAGCCAGCCTTCACTGCTCCAGCTATGGAGCAGAGGGACAGAGCCAACCCTGTTCTCTGGAGCAGAGCTCAGCCCAGGGCTGCAAAGCATGCTGGGGGACTGTGATCTAACTTGAACCAGTAAGGGGCCTGGGACAGAAGTTTCATAAACTGGTTTGAGCTAAATCAATTAAGTCTGATACTACATTCAACCAGGTTTATCTTAACCAGTTTCAGCCATTTTAAAACTGGTTTATGTGCACTGAACTTCTGTTCCATTACAGGTTTAAACCAGTTTCTGATAACTTAAACCAGTTTATCTGTAAACTTCTGTCCCTAGCCTTTATCTCCATTAGGACTTTAATTAGGAATAGTTAATACACCTTAATTATTTCACATCAAATGCACATCTTTGTTGGCAGTGAAGACAAAACCAAATGTCTTTCTACTCTTTTTTCCCCCTTAACACCATGTCCAATTTATGGTAGATTGAAACTCGTCCATGCAGGAACCTGTCTGAACTATTTTAATACCACATGATGTAAAGAACTACATGATGTCTGTTCTTAACTCACTATTTTGCATTTGTTGGAATACAGCCTACAAAATTTAAACTGATTCAGAAGTTTTAGTTGGTTCCTCAGCTATTTGCATTTATACTAAGTCTTTGTGTTAATATATCACCGTAAAATACTTAGTGCTTCTAGTATACTTCCCATTTTCATAGTGCTTTATAAAGCTCCCAAGAACTCTATAGAATATGGAATATGAGAAGGATAACTAGGTATTGTTTAATGTTGGTCTTTATGCAAAAGAACATCAGGCCATTTCATGTAACCCTTCAGCAAGATGATGATGGTTTTTACATTTCTATCACATTTCACACAGCTCTACTAGCTAGCAACTTTGCATACTAGCATAACACTTCACAATAAAAGATACGCTTGAATAATTAAGAAGTAAGTTTAATTTATAAGACCTGCTTTCAAGCCAGAATCTCAAAAACACTGACATTTTTAATTTTAAGATTTTGTATGAAAAAGTAATTTACTTATTGGAATATGAGGATATTTCAAGAAGATTTTAAAATCATTTTCATACAAAAATCCTTATGAGTTATTTTTTGTGTTTATACTCAGAACTGTTTGCTTTTAGAGCTGGATGCAAGGCCTCATGCATTCACTGACTAGTTCTGTAGATAAAGAAGGAATAGAAGCCAAGGGTGATAAAAATCAGAAGCATAAACATAATCAGCTGTAATCAGTTGTCATAGAGTTCACCTTTTCTTGACTGATATATTGGTAAAGAATTGGATTAGGTAGATGAGTAATACATAAAAAAAAATTCTGTCCACAAAATTATGAATAGTTACTTTAAAAGGTCATAAAGAACCAATTTGGAATATGTTCTCCAGTATACTATCCACCAACTCCCACCTAGTTGTTTTGATTGGATGTTTATTTTGGAAATTCTAGTTGATGAATAATGCCACCTTCTGGTTGTGTTCTCTGTTCTGTACAAAGCAAGTTCATATGTATTAAAGTGAAACAATGGCAACAACATTCTTTAGGTAACCTTCCTAACCATTTTTCTTTATAACCAGTTTTAGACAAGTTTTCAATTAATGTGTATTTTTACCAGAAAAATCAGAATTAAAGAAAATTAAAGTTTTGCTCAATATGTTATGAGAAACAAATATGCAGTAAACAGTTTTACTGAATAAAATGTTCTATTTTCAATAACCCATTGAACATTTCACCTAAGGTTTGTGTTTAGAAGTATACCTCATATTTATCCAAATGCTTTCAAATGCTCAGGGCTCTGTAATATGAAAATGAAAGTGTTTCACAATTCCAAAACATAATGCATTATTAACCTGGCCTCCTGTTGCCATTTATTTGCTGTGTCTCATTTTGGATTGAATAACATGTATACAATACCCGACAAAATACAGACCAGTGCTATTGTACACAGAAGTATCAAATGCAGCTTGAATGGAAGGATTTCTTGTGTTTAGGGAAAACTCCCACTAAAATGAGTCAGAGAAGTAGGAATAGTAGAATCCAATCCTGTATGGATGTAATTGCAATGTGATGCATATGAAGAAATATTAAAATATTACATTTTCACAAGTTTAGGAAACAATCTGAATTTAAGAGCAGCATTGTAATTTGAGCGTGTCATTACTCATTAATAACATTTTGTCCTTATGATGTGTGTGAGGTCTTCATATAATGTTCTCTCTCTTTTCATATTTCTATTTTGAAATATTTGATGAAAATATAACAGATTAAGTGAGGTGAGGTGACATAGTTTAAATACCATTTTGCAGTAGGAGGAAGACAAAACACTAGTTTTACTGAAAAATGTGAACATTTATTGTCATTGCTAGTTAAGAGTCAAACTCCACTTTTCAAACTATGTCCATACTCCAATTCCCTGTCTTTTGTTTTACTAAGTATGAACTAATCATTTGGATTAACACCTCTTAAATACACTTTAAGTCAATAGCTATCTATGTTCAACATAATTAAATTAATGCAGTTGTTGTCTTCTGTTTTGTGGATTCTGTAAAACTCAGTGCCACCCTTCTCATCTAGCTATTTAGGTCTTTGTTAATTTGTCTATTCTCTCAGTGTAAGCATCTTCCTGCATTTGCAGCTTTTCATTTATCTCAGTCTGTGAAGAAAATCAGAAAAAAAGTGGTTACAATGGAGCTATCTTGTGCTGCACATTGTCTTTGTGGTTTTGAAATACTGTACTGCATTAAGACAGACATTATCCTACATACACCTTCCTGTTTTGCAGACATTATGGTGTTCCAGGCTGTATTTATGTGATAACACATTATCATATTACTATGCACACTTCCAATCTATGGTATATCTGCCATGAACAGGAAGTGATATTGGGACAGCCATTTTTCTTATAACCTTGTGTTGGGAGATAGGCTAATTTGTCTGTATTCTACGACAGACTTTACCAATAAACACAAAATCAGAAAAAAATTGATCTGGGATTTGGTTATTGCCACTGTGTTTTTTTGCTGCAGAGGTTTGGTTTCTAGTGTAATACATTTTACTAAGTTACTGTTGGCATTTATAAAACATTATTGGAAATAAACAGTAAAACACAAATTTATGAGATGCTAGTTGTCTTTCTTAACTACAGACATAATTCTGAATATATATTATACATAGCGACTCCAGAATGCTGCAATTTTTCAGTGTTTAAATTTTAATGTAAGATTTATAATGTAAGGTCCAAGGGTTGTAACACATTTTAATAAACTCTTCATCAGTAATAATATGAAAATGCAATTCTGGGGTGTGTCCACACATGCAGGCATGTGTGCTTGCAGCAGCTCAAATAGAAGCAGTGCAAATTTGAGCCAGGGCTTTTTGCCTCAGTGCATGTGCCTGGACATGCACTTTGTTGTGGAACAAAGTGTGCCACTTGGGGCAAAATTACCCTGCCTGGCTCCTCCCGGATCTGCAGCCAGGGGGAGCTAAAGCCTGGGGCCAGCACCTGTGCTGGCCCCAGCAGTATAAAAACCTGCCCTGTGCTGGCCCTATCAGTATAAAAAGCTGCCCTAGCAAGCAGCTCAAGACAACTTGTTCTCAGGAGCTTCTAAAGGAGAAGCCTCTGTAAGGAAGTTGGCCACACCCCTTCCTGTCCCAAGCTGCTGCTGCTGTTGCTATTATTGGTTGCTGCAAGCTTGGTCTCAGGAGCTTCTGGGGAGAAGATGGTCAGGCCCTTTCCTGCCTTTGACTACTGCTAGCTACTGGCTTGGTCTCTGAGCTTTTGGGAATAAGTTGGCCACACCCCTTCCTGCCTTGGGCTGCTGCTGCTACTGTTGCTGCCCCCGCCCATGGGGAGTGATCCTTTGCTGTATGTTGCTGCTCCCCCTTGGGGAGCAGCCCAAAGCACTGCACCGCACCCCAGCTTCTGCACCCCTGCTTCTGGCCCGCTGCTCAGCCCGCTGCCAAGCTGAGGTTGGGGGACAGCTTGGAGAGGGAGCCTGTACTACCTGTGGGCCTCTCCCCCACCATCACTGCTTGAGCCTAAAGGTGTCTTGACTGCCCCAGCTGCCTTGGCAGGCCAACTCCCACCTTCACCTCCACTCTCACCAGAAGAACACCCTGAGTGCCTGAACTGAACGGCTCCTATCAATACTGCTGCCACCTCTCAGGAGAGAGGGAGATTCCCTGCTGTACCACCTTGCACCACTCAACACCAAACCTGCACTGGATTACTCCTTAATTGACTGATTGCTCCTGCCCTCCCCGACAGCTGCTTCACTGCATCTGATCCTGCTTTATTTTTCCTGCCTATTGCTCTGCTGCTGAATGCTTGACTGGAGGCCTGAGGAGCTCCTGAACTGATTTTCAACAAACAAAGCCCCTCCACCACTCCAGCCATCTTATACATCTGCCTCAGCAGCCTTCCCTGTATGTTTTACCTGTGGTCCACTCTCCCTGCTGTGGTGTTTTTTGTGTGACTGAGTAAGCCAGCTTGAGTCTCCCCAGCCCTTGTGTGTGTGTATGTGTTCCCCCTTCCCCACATTCCCCAAGCATAGCCCTCCCAGCTTTTTTCCTGCAAGGATGTAGCTCAGTGAGCTTCAGCTCCCTTCCCCTTCCCCCATATTTCCCTCACAACCTTAGGCTGCCCCTATGAAACTCACTAGCCCCACTGTACTTTTTTGGGTTCCTTTTTTGGTTTCCCCTCCCAGATATGAAGCAATGGCAGGGAAGGACCCTTTGGGGGGGGAGGGAGGGAAGATTCCTCCACAGAACTTCCTGCAGCTCCCACTATGGGGGCAGATCCCAGCCAAGCCCCCAAGGAGATTCATGCCCTTGCAGCCCCCACCCCAGAGGCAGAGTCCACACAACCTCCTCCATGGGTAGAGAAGCCTGAGACCTCTATTGTGGGGAGCCAGCAGGGCCAGGGGCTCTCCCCTGGTCAGGCCCCTTCTGGCAGAGAACCCAAGGGCCCCACCCCCATGCCTAGACCACCAGCACCTGAAGAGACCAGGTGCACCACACCAACTGGCACTTCCACTCACCTTGTCCCTGACTCTAGCCCCGGCCCCATCAATGCGGCCCTGCAGGGGGGGAACCACAGCTAGGCACAGGCAGCTGTGGGACCTGGACCCTCTGCTATTGACTCTTCCAGCTCGGGCAGCAGGGCCCCCTTCCTGGCACTCACCCATAGGCACGGGGTAAAGTGCCAACTGCCCAGGTGGGAGACCCTGCATTTTGAGACCTGGGTGCAGGCCCTGGCTCTGGTAGTGGGGCTCCCCAAGATTGTGGCGGCCTCCCACTTTCATGGCAAGGGGGTCATTTTCTTTGCCTTGGAGGCTGCCGCATAAAAGGTGGTGGAGAGGGGGCTCATGTTGGAGGGTGAGTACACCCCCCTCGAGCCCCTAGAAGAGCTGCTGACCAAAGTGGTCCTCAGCTCTGTCCCACTTTATATCCCCAATTGGGCCCTGCTCCCCCATCTCCAAACCCTAAGGAGAGTTATCTCTCTGGCTGTGGCCCTCTCACTGGGGTGCCAATACCCCAGCCTCAGCCATGTGCATGCATGCTGTCGTCAGGTCATGATCCAGTTGGCAGTGGGAGCATGGCTGGAGGCTGAGGGCAGGCTCATAATTACTTTTCAAGGGGTCCTAGTGAGGATTTTCTATATGCTGGGAGACCTGTGGTGCTTCCGGTGCCATGCCCTGTGGCTGTTGCATGGGTCAGGCAAGGAGGGTGTCTGCAGGTCCCACTGACAAAAGGGGTGCCCCTACCACCAGTGCCCCTCCCCACTTGGGCCCCCCTGGTATCCCAGCCACAACTACCAGCCCCCCTGTGAGCTCAGGGGACCCAGCCCCAAACCAAATATAGAAGAGTTCTGGGGAGGGGGGCAGCAGCTGGGGAAGGAGAGGGAGAGGCCCCCCCCACCCCCTGGCCATGCCACCACTGTAACTGCCCCACTGCCCCAACCCTTACCTTCTACTGGAGGCTGTCCACCTGAGGACTGCCCTATGGCTAAGTGGGTGCAGGTCCCCTCCAGGTGCAAAGCCAAGAGAAAGGCCTGGGTGCAGCTGGAGACCTCTGATGTAGAGGACCGCTCCCCCCCCCCCGACCATCACATGGGGAGAAGGAGCAGTTCAGCTTCCGGGGGCCTCCCCAGATGTGCCCAACACTCCACCCCCATGGAAGATTAAATGGGTTATCCCAGTAAAGGAGGCTTCAGGGCTGCTGGACACTCCCAAACAGGAGTCCATGCAGAAAGCCCCTCACACCACTGGCCAGGGCCTACCCACTGAGACCATGGGTGTTGAGGCTGACTCAGAAGAAGGTCTGGCAGCAGAGCCCTTCTCCTCTGATCTGGGGGAGACAGGGGCCCTGGGGCTCTCCCCAGTGAGCCCTGGGGAGGGAGGTCCCCTTTCCCAGGACCCTGAGGCAGACACCAAAGCCACCCGGGCTGCCTAATGGGTCTCTTCACTCCACTTAACAGAAATTCCTCACCTCCAGCCTGCCCTATGGTCCCTCACCAGAGTGGGTCGGGGTTGGGTCCCCTGAGCATCAAGGTGATCTTGTTGAGGACCCTGCACAAAGCCCCCCAGAACTCCAGCTCTACTCTACCATCTTGTGAAGGAGCCCCTCCCCAGTCCCAAGGGGTTACAGAGCTCTCCCAATCCCAACCAGAGTCCAGGGTTGTAGCAGACTGGGGTGTTCAGATGGTGCCTAAGGAGCCCGCTGAGCCCCAGGACCAGGAGGAGGGCACCCGAGAACCAGCAGGCTCCATGGAGCCTGCAGACCTCTCAGTCCCAGTGGTCCCCAGGGGTGAGCTACATGCATTTCTTGACCGTGACTACACCCGCCGGTCCTCCAGCAAGGTACAGCTAGCCTTGAACTGCTGGGGAGATTTTGACAGCATCCTCACCACCCAGCATGCTCGTGATGCCTGGCCCGGCCTGGCCCACAGGACTGTGTGGAGCTGAGCTGTGTTCTGCCAGCTGCAGGTGGCTCATGCTCCCTGGCCCGGCCTGGTGCGCAGGGACCGTGTGGAGCCGAGCCGGGTCCTGCCGGCCTTGGAGCTGCTCATGCCACTGCATGAGCAGCCCCAGGGCCAGTAGGACCCGGCTAAGCTCCATGCGGTCCCCACACACTGGGCTCAGTCCTGCTGCTATAGGAAGGGCTTGGCCGGGTGGCAGGACACAGTGCGGCATGAGGGAACCATGTGCTGCACCAGGTCCTGTCAGTATGGGCCAGGCCCCAGGGCCAGCTCCTGCCTCTGCCCCCTGTGCCTGGGGGGGGTGGGGGTGGGTGAGGACCTGATCCAGTCCCATGTGGCTCACTAGTCTGGCTTTGCACCAGAGAGGGTCACAGGGCTCTGGGAGGTGTGGCTCCTGTGCATGCCTCCTAGAGCCATGCAACCCACTCTGGTGCAAAGCCAGACTAGCGAGCCACAGGGATCTGGGCCCAGCCTGGCCGGGCTGCAGAGGGGCCCCAGGACCCAGCTGGGTCTGGCAAATGGTCCCTGCATGCCACACTGGGTCCTGTCACCATGGGCCCAGCCTGGCTGGGCTGCAGAGGGGGCCCAGGACCTGGTTGAGCCCGGCACACAGTCCCCGTGTGCTGTGCCAGGTCCTGCTGCCACAAGACCAGCCCGGCTGGGCGGCAAGAACAGCCCCAGGACTGGCATGGCCAGGCTGGGCTCAGCGCATGGTCCCCCCACTGCTGCTTTTAAAGGTTAGTTATGGGCCCTGGGCAGGGGGGCTGGGGCCCTGTGGGGGATGGGGGCTGTGGCCCTCCAGGGTGGAGCTGGGACCATTCAGGGGTCAAAAAAAAAAATCACAGGAAAAAAATGGGTGCAATGCATGCTTGGCCACTATGCGCTGCTGAAAAGCAGAGCCAGGCTGCCTTGAGCTGTGCTGCGGGTGCTGGGCAGGCTCCATGAGGCAGAATTGCCATGGCTGCAGCCCTGGGAGGCCCCCAGGACAGGCTGCTGGGGCCAGTCCAGTGCTGGCCTCAGCCTCCCCTACCCCACCCAGGGCAACCTGGTGTGCACCAAAGTTTGCATGTCACAGGCTTTCCCCGGGGACAAGTAGTGGTGGTGTAAGGTGTGCCACTGCTACTTGTCCCCAGGGAACCAAACTTCCACACACGTCTGGACGTACCCTAAGGGTGCATACACAAGTGCAGCTCCCTGCTGTAATTCAGAACACTTTGCAGGGAATGTGTTGAGTTATAACAATCCCTCAGACCAAACAGAAGTTCACTATTGGTTCCAGGGGTGAGGAGAATTTAGCTGCTGGCTTCAAACCTGTAGCTGGTTTCCCCTAGCAATGGCCCTTCCTTCCTCCCAGCCTGGGATGTTTTCAGAATGGGAGGGGGAAAAGGGAGCAGAGCTCATTCTATGGGTTCTCCAGTCCACACTGGAGTGTGGGGTGGGTGGATCAACCCACCTCATCCTCCAGTGTGGGCTGAAAAACCCCCAGACCAAACTCCCCCCACCTCCCTTTTCCCCCCCTCCCATTCTGAAAACAGTGACAGGCTGGGAGGCAGTGCAGACAAGTTACTGAAGATGCTATGTTTTGAAATGTCTTCATCTGAGCCCTCATGCAATTGTGGGATTGGGCCCTTTTAAAGCGCTTTGGAACCATGCACTTCTGCTTGGTCATGGTAATAGACTACAGTGCTTTCAGAGGCCACATCAGGCAAAAACTGTCATTTCTGTCTGTGCCGTAAATACTTGATATACATTGCAAAGTGTCACGTTTGAAAATGTTTACTGTACATGTACAACACTGCATGTGTTCTCACAGTGCATTTAAGGGAATTTTATCATTTGTATCAATGAGAGCAGGATTTAGCTCATGCTTTCCAAAATCCATAGTAATTGTGGAAACATATGTTGTTATGCCACTTAATCTATTTTTTGGATCTTATCTCATGGGGTGACTAATCTGCAAGCTACTTATAGCTGATAAATCACATTCCTACAGCATATGAATGGGTTCTTTTGCCCATATGGTGTAAGTATAGTTTACAGTCATTGAAGTAGGGGTTAGCCAATTAGCCAAAGTTAGAATTACTGAATATATTTGTAGTACTAGTACCTGCAGGCTGCCAATAATTTCATTTGTGATCTGACCCAGTACAGATTTAACATCTTCAGTGGTGAAACCAGTCAATGGATCTACTTTTAGGGATTCCTCCTCTGGTTGGGGTTCTTCTGGATAATACTCTTGATCAATTTCCTAACAATAAATGCCATACAAATTGTGTCAACTTAAACATTCTACTGTTAGGTACAGCATCAAAATTATGCCAGCCCCATAACACAACATCCAAATACTGAGCTGGCATTTTAAAAGTGCTGCTTTGGAAGTGAACTTCAGAATTTTCTTTTCATTGGCAAAGACACAGAGAGCACAATACAAAGGTAATGCGATTGCTTAGAGGGAGATGCTTAGGAATACCAACTAAATTACTCCATATACCCTCCCTTGCTGTCTAATTAATACAATAACAGTAACTTCATTCAATGTAAATATGAATGCATCCAGTATCTTGATTGCACAAATAAGGAATGAAATTGGTGATTTAGTTGGTGCTTTAATGTGAAAAAGTTAGATGTAGGTGGCTCATAATGAAACGGCTATTAAAAAAAACTTTACCTCTGTTTCTAGTTCTGCAGCTGGAGGCATTGCTATAAATGATGAATATATATTGTAAGAAAGACCTTCTTCTAGTGGAGCAGGGAAAGAGGTATCTGCAGATTTGACAAGTTCAATCACATTCTGTCGGGACAAAAAAACCCCCAACACATTTGTAACATAGGGTTTAATTATTGTTCATAGCTCTGCTACTGACTTTTGAAAGGAAATAAAATGTTTGGTTCACAGCAAAAATAGCACCTTTTCTTGCTATCCAGGTGCTTCACACTGGAAAACTTAACAACCTCTATTACAGATTACCCTTAAACCCTGGCATGTATTTTCCAGAGCCCTCTTTAAAATGGAACTGGACAGTTTACTTGGAAAGAGGTGTTGGTTTTCCAGGTTTCCCAGTACTACAGTGCTGTATGGTTTTGTTAAATTACAAATACTTTCCTAATCTTGTATTTCTAAAAGTATTCTGGAAATTATGCTCCATTTTTCACCAAATTTAATATATATTGTTTGCTCAAATATGACCCAAAATGTAGCTGGTATTAAAACAAGACTTAAAAACCCCAAACCTGAAGGACATTAGGAAGATTTCCAGGACTTTTAAATAAAAATAGAAATATGGATATTTAACAATCAGAAAGACTCCTCTGCAAAATTGTAATATGCTACATGTTCAACCCTTTATCATATCATCACATAGCCCCACATGTGGGTTGCACAGCAAGATTTTTGAAGGTGCCAGCACATTTCCAACCATACTGTGCAGCCCGTGTCACTGGTCCCTGATGCTGGGCTTCATAGCATGGCTTTAAAGGTACCAGTGTGTGCAATCCCAGGTCCCCAGAACTGCACATCTGACATGGCAGGACATGATTTTTGGGATCCAGGATAAAATTAATCAGACCCCAATCATGCATGTAAATTAACATCTTCCAGCAGCTTAATAGTTACAAAAGTGAAAAGCAGTTATTCATTTTGAGTTTGCTGGCTAACAGAAAAATCAAAAACAAAATTCCAAGAAGCAAGGTTATTTGTGGCTGGTGTGTTTTATTGCACGAATCACAGCGTTGGGGTAGTTGGAAAGCATTCTTCTTCAGGTTCAGTAAAGTTACCAAACACAAAAATCCTTTCCCCTAGCATATTTCCAGGACACCATGGGTATGTCCAGATGAGCACGGACATTTGGTTCCCCAGGGACAAGTAGAAGCAGCGCATAGCTACCTATCCCTGGGGAACACCCATGCTAGGCACACTTCGGCAAGTGACAAGGTACCTCGGGGGTGGTAGGGGAGGCTGGGGTCAGCACAGTGCTGGCCCCATCAGCCTTACTTGGGGTCCTGGGGGCCTCCCAGGGCTGCAGCTGTGGTAATCCTGCCTATGGAGCCTGGCCAGCAGCTGCAGCATGGCTCCAGGCAGCCTGGCTCTACTTTTCAGCTGTGTGCTGCCTGTGCATGTGCTGCTCTGTTTATTTTTCCCAGTTTTTATCTTTTTATTTTTTTGACCCCTGGATATCCAGCAGTAAAAAAAAACCCGCAGAAAAAAAAAGTGGAGCACCACACACGTGAACAGTGCACCCTTGCAATGCAGAGAACACCAGACTGTGTGGTATATGGCACTGCAGACATATTTGCGGTGCCACATATTGCATGGGTGTGTCCAAACGAGTGTGCACACGCTTGTTGCAGCATCTCAAAGCAGTTTAAGATGCCACAAGAGGCATGCTGGAAACTAAAAATGTTCCCTGCACTGTATATTTGCAGCACAGACTCTAAATTTGATACTGGGAAATCCTGGTATAAAAAAAAAACCCTGAAGAAAAAGTGATACAGGGCATGCTCTGCCCTGAAGCAACTGGAGGCTGGGTCCTCCAAAAAGATGCTCTGGCACCCAGCCAGAGCATCTCTATGCCTGCCTCCTTCCCCTGCTGTCCCAGCATAATGGGGCAAATAGGAGCAGGGCTAGGCTGCAGCTGTGATCTGGACCCAGGTGCCATCCTAGGTAAGTAGGGACATGGAGGGATTGTGTGTGATGTGGGACTGTGGGTGTGTGTGGGGGATGGCTGGGGGAGCAGGTCCCCTGCCTGCCCCTCGCAAGGCATACAGCCCTCCCCACCTGCAGCAGCAGCCATGGGGCACTCAGGACCCACTGCTGGCAGAGTCCCCCACAATGCAGTGCAGCCCTGGCCACCTCAGACCCAGTGCCACCTGTGCCACATAGCATGGGACTGGTCCAGCCAGGCCTGCAGCCATGTGGTTTCAGGCAGAACTGGGCTACTCTTGCTGTCACCCAGGGTCCTGGCACCCCACAAAGGGGCTGGGCATTGGGCTGAGTCAGGTCCTGCCTCAATAGAGGTGGCTAGCACATGGGGATGGTGCATGGGGCACTTGGAAACAGGACCCAACCTGGCCCTGCTCGGCGTGACATGTGGAGAGATGCTGCGTATGGTGGCAGGAGCCATCCCAGTCCTGTTCAAAGCCATGTGCTAGCAGGGTGTGCCATGCCAGGTCCATTCACCATGTACAGACCCTGGGTCAGGCTGTGCTGTGCTGCTGCAGGTCTGTGCACAGGTCTGCAGCAAGCCATGGCCCAGATGGCCCGGCTGGCTGCTGCTGCTGCCAGTGCTGGGGGCTGCATGTCACAGGGGGTAGGCAGGGGGCAAGCATGTAGTGGACCCCCCTCAAGCCCTGCCACAAATCCCACACCCCCGTAGCCCCCCATAACAACGCACATCCCCTCACCCCTTCACAAACTCCACATCCCTCCTATACCCACACCTCACGCTCACTCATGAACCCCACCCCCACCCCCTTTCCCACCCCCCTCCTGCAAACCCCATATCCCTCCCACATCTCACACCCTGCATACCTAGCTGCCAGATAGGATGGGACCTGCTGGTGGGAGCTGTGGCTGCAGGGGCAGCTTTCTCCACATCCTGGTTAGTGAAGGGGTAAGGGGGAGCTCTGATTTTTCTATGATAATAAAATCAAAACCAAAGCACATAGATATTTTAGAATTTATTTTATTATGATGATAGAGGCACTGGTAGGCTTCCAAATTGCTTCAAAATTGTCAATATATCAAGAAAACATTTCCCAACTGATCTGTCTGCCTTTCTGCCTGCCAATTGATCAATTCCTCCAGAGCATGAAGCTTTTGCCACCTCTCTCAACACTCTCCACAGAGGGATGGGCTGGTTGGGTCGGTGGGCAGGCACCTTTCAGCTCTAGCACTTCCAGCTTGAGATGCTCCCAGACTGCCTCCCTTTGCCAGGTGTGCCACCAAGTGTAGCTGTGGCAAAAAAGCCAGATGTGCACCTACCCCATGTCCCACCATCTCTGAGCTAAGGGGAAAGCTGCCTGTTGCTCCCACCAGGCCAGACAGAACTCCTGGAAGGCCTCCCTGAAGCCCACATCCTCCAGCAGGCTGGCCTTGAAATGCCAGTAGGCTCACCCCAGATGCCCAGGCCCTAGTGTAGCCTGGGCCCAGACAAGGTGGTGATCACTAAAAGGGGATGGCTGGATGCCAGAGGAGTGGGCTCAGGCAAAGTGTGGCAAAAAGATATAAACCTGGTTCAACTGGGAGTGGCATGCCTGCTTCTCCCCACCCTCACATAGATGAAGGCAGGGGGGTCAATATGTTGAAAGGCATGTCCACCAGGGAGTAGTCCGTCAGGATATCCCCGAGGATGTCCACAGCAGCCTGGTTCCATTCCCTGTCCAACTGGTCTTGCGTGTTTAGGGTGACATTAAAGTCCCTGCCAAGGACCAGGAACTCATGAGGGTTGAGGGTGCCAATGTAAGTGGCCACCTGGCAGAAAAAAATCCGCCTACTCTGGGTCCCTCGCAGGGGTGTACACATTCAGAAGATCCAGGGCCAGCCCCTGCACTTGGACCCACAGGTGCAGCAGGTGTCCTGGCACCACCTCAATGTCCTAGAGAACCTCCAGCTGCAGGCTTGGGGACAAGAGGGTGGCTGCCTCTCAAGAGGTGGCCAAGAGGTGACTAAAAAAGTCCCTGCCTCCCCACTTCAGCTGTCAATTAGGTCTGTCAGCCGGAGTCATCAGGGTCTCCTGCAAGAATACCACAGGGTAACCCCCCTCCTGAAGGAAGGAGAGCACCCAGCATCACCAGAAACCCTTCCTGCAATCGTGGACATTGAGGGTTACAATCTTAAATGACCTCATGGCTGGTGGGGGGGGGGGGATGGAGTAGATGTTTCAGCAAGGGTCTCACGCATCTCAATGCCTGGTGTAGGTACTGTCTGAACCCCTGGTCCACTAAGACCCCAGACTCTGGTTTGGATTGGGAGAGGTCTGCAGCCCCTTGGGACAGAGGTCAGGGTAAGGATGGGGGTGGGGTAGAGCTGGAGTCCTGGCAGGTCTGTGCAGGGTTCCTGACAAGATCAGCTTGTTGATCAGGGGACCCAAACCAGACCGCATCTGGTGCAGGACCACAGGGCAGGGTGGAAGTGAGAATTTTCTGGGAGGGGGAGGGAAGAGTCCCATCAGGCACCAGGGTGGCTTTGGTGTCTGTCTCAGGGTCCTGGGAAAGGGGATCTCCCTCCTCAGGGCTCACTGGGGACAGTCCGAGGGCCTATGTCTTCCCCAGATTATCAGAGGGGGAGGGCTCTGCTGCCAGACCTTCTTCTGGGTCGGCTTCAGCATCAGTGCCTGCGGTCTCAGGGAGCAAGCTTTGGACAGTAGAGTGAGGGGCTTCCTGCATGGGCCCCTGTTTGAGAGTGTCCAGCATCCCCAAAGCCTCCTCTACTGGTACAACCCTTTTAATATTTCCCATGGGTGAGGTGTCAGGCACAACTGGGGAGGCCCCAAGAAGCTGAACTGTGCCTTCTCTGTATGTAATGGTCTGCGGGGGGGGGGGGGCAGAGGGCTCCAGCTGCACCCGGGCCTTTCTCTTAGCTTTGTGCCTGTAGGGGACCTGCACCCACTCAGCCATGGGGTGGTCCTCAGGTGGACAGGCTCCACTAGGAGAAGGTGAGGGCTGGGGTGGTGGGGCAGTTACAGGGGGGGCATGGCCAAGAGCAGGGGGTTCCTGCTCCATCTCATCCCCCAGGTGCTGCCCCCCTTCCTGGGATTCTGCCAAACTTGGTTGGGGGGGTGGGGTCCCCTGAGC